CCAAATTAGGCATACTGTATCGGTATAAATTTTCAGATAATCAGATCACGTTTGTCGAAAAATGAATTCTGCAAAAGCACTCCGTTTAAAAAGTAAAATAAACTGGACATCTAGTCAATTTCTTTTCCACCCTCGAAGAAGTCGCACATCTGCTTATGATTTAAATGCTTTAACTGCAATTGAACATTATATGCAGAAAATATTGCCTGATGTTACAATTAAACATACACCAACTAAAGTATTATTTCAACAATATTATTATACTAGTCCGATACCAACACAACGACGTGGATTTGAAGATATTACTAATGGATCTTCAAGTGAAGAAACCAATAAAGATATATTTAATCCCATGGCTTTAAATAAACTTAAAGATCGTTTATCTCGATTATATAACAAAGAAGTCGAATTTACTTTAATTAAACAAAATTATCCATACCTTAACAGCAAAATTTTGGCTCAATATATCGCTTTAAATGCTTCACGTTATAGGTTTAGACAAATTCGTCGTTCTCTTTTCAAAAAAATTCCTTTAGTTGGTGGTAAGCAACAACAAAATAATCTTAACGCTACTTCTGCACTTAAATGGGTCCAATTATCACGTCTAGGTCAACAAATTCTACCAACTCATCTTTCTGGTGTGAAAGTGCAAATTTCTGGTAGAATGGGTTTTCGTAAAGGTTCTTCTAGAACTAGTGTAATTAATAAATCTATAGGTAGTTTTAGATTTCATTCTTTAAAGAATACTATGATTGATTACGCAAAAGTTGAACGTAAAAATCAAAATGGCGCATATTGTGTTAAAGTTTGGCTTAGTTCTTCGGTAGTTTTATAGATTTATTATGCAATTGAATTGTTGTAATTCTTCTTCAAAAAAAAATATATATATATTCATGACTTTAAAAATTTCTATTTACAAAAATTATATGATCAATTATTTTAATTATATATATATATATATATAAAAAAAAAAAATAAGCTCTAATTCTTTTCCCATCCTGGAATCTCTGGTACAGCTACATTTTTTCCCTTGTAACTTATGATCCCTCGAATGGGATGGCCTGAAATCCTTGCAACTGGTATTGCCAATGGATTTCCAGCCAAGGCTTTTTGTTGCACTTTATTTCCTTCTTCTAGTGGTCGAATACGAGCCTCGCACAATGGACATATGTACTTGGCGTCGGGAATATCTGCCAATTCTTGATATCTTTCAGGTGTGAGAGTCTCGTCACACCTGGCGTGAATCCATCGGTCGCATACATCACAACAGACCATATATTTATCGTCGTCATTTTCTTGCCCATCTTCCGAATAAATTTTGAGACAAATCGGACAAAATAGATCACGTGTGAAATTGCTTTGACACTTATTACAAATAGTGGCCAAATGAATTGGATAGTTTACTGCCTCGGTTTCTTTGACATGATGATAATTATTTGC